AGAAGACTGGGAAGACTTTATAAGGGCCTTCCAATGCCTAAAGGGGGCTTACAAGAAAGATAGGGATGGACATTTTAGTAGGGCCTGTTGCAGTAGGACAAGGGGTGATGGTTTTAAACTAAAAGAGGGTAGATTCAGACTAGATATAAGGAGGAAATTTTTTTACAATGGTGGTGGTGAAACACTGGAACAGGCTGCCCAGAGAGGTGGCAGATGCCCCATCACTAGAAACATTCCAGGTCAGGTTGGACGGGGCTCTGGGCAACCTGACCTAGTTGAAGATGTCCCTGCTCATTGCAGGGGGATTGGACTAGATGACCTTTAAAGTCCCTTCCAACTCAAACCATTCTGTGATTTTTCCTGCAGGTCTGCATGGTTATGCTGTAGTTAGATCTGCTTGTTTGTCAGGACTATTCCCTAGGGGCACCTCAGCAAACATGGTCTTACTCATTTCTAAGTTTGTAGACTACAAATTAGTCCTTTGCAGCTGGACCCCCCTTTTCTCCCTTAGACTGCTGGCTACTCAGCTGCTACTTTTTTTAATGATACATTTCTACTCTATCCCTCAACACTGGTGAGCTAGATGTTGGGTACAGTTTTGGAGGGTTTTTTTTTCTCAAGTGTCCTAAGTTACCAACTCTGTTCTCCTTTAAATATTGATTGCTTGCCACCTGAGGGCAGAAGGGTTCCTTCCTGGGGCTTGAACACTCAGCTGTTGGTGTCAGAAGATTTGAAATTGCCAACTTTGTAATTAGACAAATGGATTGTGTTCAGCTGTGTAGAGACCCAGATTATTTCCTAGTGCAGAGCATGTTTTGCCCTCTAAGCACTGTGGGATACTCCACTCACACGGACATGTTAATAGCTGTGCCTGTATATCTTAGTGTAATGTAGGGAAACCAAATTGGGAAATCATTGGCAGGGTCGGGAGGGAAATACTCAGCCTGAAGTTAGGCTTCACCTGGGCTTTGCTGAAACAGTGTATAAAGTAAGAAGTGCAGGCATTGCTCTCCAGCCTTTCTCCCTGGAGCATGTATGCGGCGGCTCTGACACCATGAGTGGGCACAAGGGTGATAGACACCTCCTGATCTCCCCTGAGATTTGCTGTTGTGTTTAACCCCTGGCAGTAAGACTTAAATAGACCAAATGTTCAATAACTTGATGGAAACAAAGTTTCAATGGGAACAAGTTTCAGTGTCCAGTTGAAGACAGGCATGAAAGCTTAAGAAGTTTACTGGGAAAAAATGTTTCTGCTGTACCTGCCAGTTTTCCAGCATGGGTTGGATTTTAGACTGCAGTTGTGCTCCTGTGTGGGAGCCAAGTGAGGCTGGCATGAGCAGCCCTGCTCTTTGCCTTCCTCTTCCCAAGCACCTTCCTCTGCAGCATTAAAGCCTTCTAATAGCATTTTGCCATACATGACGATGTTGTCAAATCATTTCAGCCTCTGTGTGAGTCTGTTGAGAGGTTACCATCTCTAAGAAATGAAGACATTCTTTTGGCACTGGCTGTCAAGTGAAAAAGGTTTGAATAGTCCATAAAACCAAGCAATTCTGAATGTTCAGCATAAGGCTTAAATAGGAGAATGTAGCAATTTGGGACAGCTCTCCCAGAATTTTTTCCCTGTCTGAGGCTGTGTATCCAGGCAGGCAAAGTCTTGTGTGGTACTGGAAGAGTTCAATTCATTCTGTTCCAGGATATTGATGCATTTGCTGTTGATGCTTTTCAAAGGTGGTTATGCACCTCTTCCAGAAAAAACAAATTCTTGTATGTACTGTGACTCTGGTGCAGTTATAACTGGCTTCGGTTTCATTTTCTAAACAGGAAGAACCAGCTTGTCAGTTTTTCTTTGATTTGAACAAGCATCGGAGAACAAAACGTCCCTCAGATGGGAAAGAGGGAGGGAACTCCCAACCTAAGCAAGCCAGAAAACCCCGTAAGTATGCAGATGCTTTTTTTCTGGAGCTCTTCCCTTGAGGCATTCTCACTCTTCATTTTTCTCAAGCTGTTGAGCTGCACGTCAGCTTGCTAACATTCTTTGTCACTATACTAGATGCTGTGGGAATACAGAGGAATGAAGGGTCCCTTGTTTCTTACAAACCTGACAATAAATAGGTGAAAGAAAAGTCAAAGGCATAGTTTAAAAGCTAGTTGGGTCTGTGGCAGTTGCAGTTGGGCTGACGCCATTTACCTGCTGAACCCGACTGGCATCTGAATGTGACAACAGGCAGTTTCACAAAGCAGCATGTTTCCATTCAGAAGGACTGCAGGAGACTGGATCACAGTGCTGATGAGTTCTTGAAACACCACTTCAGTTGTTCTCTGCTGTGAGTTCACAAAGTATTAATGAACTGGGAAGGGAGGAAGCCCTCCTGTTACCTCTGTATTTCTGTGCTGTGAATCTCATTAGAGTTTGTCTGGCTTGAAGAAATTGAAATTAAATCTTCAAGGATTGTGACTTCTTGGTGATGGTGTTATTGCAAGCATGTGACTTTATGGTAAAATGAGCACAGTGTCATTGCTCTGTATGTGCCTGCAGAGGCACAACGAGCTGTAATGGCAGTTAGTTTTGATGAAAGAATGTCTGGGGTTTTTCTTGTTTTCCCCCATCGCTTCTGTAGGACATAGTGTGGCATTGTGCAATATTCACATAACTTCCAAAGTCTTCTAGAGTTTGTTACACTGTTTTGCTCAGAACTGAACCCCAGAATCAGACGACTGGTTTCCTGCAGTTCTTGGCGGAGCCATATATGTTTATTGCACTTGCAAAGCTGCTTGTTTGTTCTTGTACACAACTTGTGGAGGATGTGAATATAGTGTTTAACCCTAAGAGGCCTAGTTTACCAATGCCATCAACTTATATTAAAAGGTCAGCTCAGGTATCACAATTTGGGTGTGAATCCAGGTGTTTTGGTGTGATTAATAGGCCAGAACTGACAGGTGTGCTTGACAATGTCTGTCCTTGTCTGTTATCTGTGCAGTAATTTTGCCTCATTTTGATTTGTTTGTTTAAATTTGCTGGTGCTTTCTTACTAGTGAGCTGTAACCTCTAAATTCCTGGAATTAGTGCTCTTCCATTAAATTGGAGCAAGGGTGTGCTGCCACTGCCTCCTCTCTTGCTGTAATTCCCCAGAGGCACCAGTTCTCTGACCAGATCTGCTTCCAGGAGCTGTGTCCTTCTGACATATTCAGCACTTTTTCAGTTGGGAAGGGTGGCTGGAAAATAACAGCTCTTTCAGATCTTGTTCTTTTCCTTGTTCTGACAAATAAGCCTTGTATTAACACTTGTTTCTCTTACCTCTCCCAATAAAGCACAGCCCACAGGGCCCTGCTGGTTCTGCCTCGCCAGCCCAGAAGTTGAGAAGCACTTGGTTGTTAGTATTGGCACGCATGTAAGTACCCATAGCATGTCCTTTGCTACCTGATGGCAGAATCATGCCCAGACACAGCAACATAAACCATCAGTCTCCAATTTTCAATCTTTAAAAAAACCGAACAAACTTTATCTGAAGCTGACTCGTGGTTTTGTTTTCAGTTTCTTCACATCTCCCCTATAAAAGACCTAAGTAAAGAGATAAAGTCTTTTAAAAAATGAAGCATGGTCCAGTTTTGCTGTGGCAGCAGAGCTGGATTATGGTGCCAGAACACTTTTTGCTGTGCCAGCCCTCATAGTTTGCTTACGTTACCATCTGGCAGAACTTTTCCAGGTAAAATCAGTGTAAACTGGAACCTGTTTTGGCAGCAGGATGCACTGTCTGGAGTTTTGCCAGATCTCCCTGGGATGATTAGTTCCAGTTTTGTTACATATACATTAAACAGAAGATAAAATAGCTTTAAAGTCTGTGCATCTTGGAGATTAATTCAATCATTGGTATATTCACATTGCTTAAAGTTATTGCTCCTGTGCAGCATAATCCACTTTACACTGCTACGGGGACAGGTTTGTCCATGGGCTTATTTTAAAAGCTGTTAACCATTTTCAAATAGATTTTCTTGTCATAGTAAGAAATTGTAGCCACAGTGGTGAAGTTGACTCAGCTGCTTTTCTGCAGACAAGACATTCTCTGGCATTCAAAAGACTTTTTTTTTTTTTTTTTTTTGGCTCTTTAGCTGCCCCTCTCTCTTTCTCATTCCTCTAGTAATTATTAAATTGCCTATAAACAATCCCTAATAAGTGAGATAGAGGAGAAGGTTTTCCTGTTCCTGAAACAGAATTCTTAGGCTGGAGGATACTCAGAATGCAGTCAGAGAGTAACTTTCCACAGTATGGTAAGTGTTGCTTGCAGTGAGTAATTGGTGCATATTGTTTCACTCTAGTGCTATCTTGCCCTGGCCAAAGGTGGCTTATTACCTGATCATGTCTTGATTTTGCCTATCGGGCACTATCAGTCAGTGGTTGACTTGTCTTCAGAGGTGGTGGAAGAAGTGACCAAGTACAAGTCTGCCCTGAAGGAATTTTTCAGAAGCAAGGGAAAGAGATACGTCCTATTTGAAAGAAACTATAGGAGTCAGCATCTGCAGTTACAGGTATGGTTTTAGTGTCACCCTGGGAGAATATAAACTTGAGCTTATCTGCAAATGAACTGAAAAAGAAAGCTCACCTTCAAATTTCCCTCTTTGTTCTGTGCCTTCCCAGAGTATGGAGAGAAGTCATCCTACCCACAGATAGAGCCAGAGCAAAAATAAAACCGGTGTGCTGGTTCTGCCACCGTCCTTTAATTCTTCCTGTTACAGCAGCACAGCTTTGGTTGTGTTGAGTGGGTGAGGAAGACTTTTCCCTGCATGGAACTGATTAAAAAGCCCACACCACACAGTTTACAGATAGCTTGCAAGTCCTTGCTCTGACTCTCATTGGCTCACACTGGCACACGATCTGTGGTGCTCACCTTTGTCTGGAGGAGGCTGAAAATCTGAAGATACATGCAGAACACTGGTCATTGTCTCCAGTACCAGCCCTTTGATGTGATGTTTTCTTTTTTGTCCGTGTCAGTCATTTAGGGGTTTATTGTGGTAGTTTCTGTATTTGGCAGTTCTGTAACTGTATCAGAGCAGCCTTTAAACTACCACAGAGATCAGAAGGGAGAAGGCTGTGCTGAGAACTTTTTCAAGCTTTTAGTTTTCAGCTTTTTGTTCCTCTCCTACAGAAAAAAAATCTCATAAGTTTAAGCCTGTACAGATAGGTGCTCACCTGTCTTGTTTGATGATGCTGAGTGGTACTGAGGAGCACAGAGGCTCCAGTGATGGATTGCTTTGTGCAAGTGGTTGTCTTGTCTTCTTTTTATGGAAATGTTGTCCTCCCTCCCCAGGTGATTCCTGTCCCATTGGACCACTGTACTTCTGAAGACATTAAAGAGTCGTTTATTGCACAGGCACAGGAACAACAGATTGAATTATTAGAAATCCCAGAGCACTCAGATATCACGCAAGTATGAGATGAGATTTCACTTGTTACTTTCCCTCTGTCCTGTCTAGGCTGCCCTTTGAGGTCACTTGGTGTGACAGGGTTAAGCTGTTAGAGGCCACTGTAGACTTGAGCTGGAGATACGCCAGATGTATTCTGCTCCGCGTGAAGCTCCTAGATGTGATACTTATCTGAAAATTTTTCCAGATACACGTAGGGCTTGCTGAATTCATTCCTTCTGACACCAAACACCACCCCTCTTTCAGTGCTGCTGCACATCAGGTAGTTTTAGGTTCCCTTGGATAGAAATTTGAAAGAAGTATCAGGGAAGTGAATTAGTAGGGACACAGGGTTGGTTTTTTTTCCTTTGTGCTTAATGGTCACAGGGCCACCTGATCTGGAGCAGGAGCCAGAAATAGCATATATGTGTGCTTATCTCTTTGTAAACTGCTACAGCTGTTGATAGCCGTGTTGGCAAGCTTAGAGGCTGATTTCTCAGCTGGGAAAGGTGAATGTAGTCTCCTCACATGCCCCTCTCTTGCTCTAAAAATGTGCTGGTTTGGTATGGGATGACTTAGCTCAGGTTAATAATGATCAGAACGGCCCGGTTCTCTCATTTAATGCCTCTGTGGCAGTAACTGCAGAATTAAGCCACAGAAAATGTTACAGTAGTGCCCAGTGTGCATCATCATCAGGTGGTCCCCGCAGAAAGCCAGCCACTGCTTCATCGCCCCTTCCAGCGCGAGTCCAGCCACTGGTGCAGTTGGGCGTCTGCGGGTCGCTCCGTTCCTTCTGACGCGTCTCGTCTCTGAGGAGGAAACGCCTGTTTTGTTTTGGTTTTTTTTTCCCGAACGCCGCCCTCTCTGCTGGCGGGCGGAGGGCGGCAGCGGGCGCCCCTCTCGAGGCCTCTCCCCCCGCAGGTGGCGCAGCCGGGGACGCCCTACTTCTACGTGGAGCTGGACACGGGGGAGAAGCTTTTCCACCGCATCCGCGGGCGCTTCCCGCTGCACTTCGGCAGGTCGGTGTCTT